GTCGCCATCGCAAAAATGTAAAATTCACTACCCACCAGTTTGAGGGGACGCTGCCTTTAAGCCTAGCTGTCTGTGGTCTGCTATACGAGAAATCACTCCCTTTCAACTATTATACGAATTTGCGCTAGTCACCACAAAATGATATAGATAGAACTTGAAAAGTGCATAAACGCATCGGAAAAAATTCCGCGATTGCAGATTTGCTATAAGTAGAGTAAATCCTCAGTCGCCATATGTATCACTGTGCCATATGTATTACTCTTCAAAATGTACTCGTTGCATGAGAGTGACATAAATAGCGAGCAGATATCTATCTATCAATGCAGGATAGATAAAATTATAGCAGATATCTAGGATGTACGCGAAAGGGGTTTCGCAGCAGTATATAAAAAGCATGCAGAAAATGCAGGGGTATCATTCAAGAATAAAACGCTCAATGAGCGAAAAGAAAATTCGAAGAAAAGTACAGGCTGGCTGACAACAACACTGACCTTATTTGCACAAACAAGATATGAGCTACCAAAGAAAAAGCCATTTGAACATATATAAGTGCAGATAGCGTACAAATAATCAAAGCCTTCCCAAGAATCATTAACACCAGAAAAGATTCAAAAAAGCACTAACCAGCAACCCATTCGAAAGATCGTAGGGTTCGGAACTATTATCAGCACGGCGTAGCTCAGGGCAACATTGTGACAAGTGACTATAGACTGCCTCATCGCCAGTACAAATACAATTACATCGACGACACATGTAAATCCTGCAGAGAAAAGTTTTTCTAAGTGGAACGAATGCGTAAGATAGAACTCACTTTTTAGAAAAGCCGACATGCGATGGATTGTGTTTCTTTGATAAAGTCTTTCCACCAGCGAGTCTGCAGATTCTTGTAAAATGCTCCGAGATATCTTTCGCTAATCTGTCGACGGCTGTAGGACTGTCTTCAACAAGTGAGGTGAATTCGATGTCAGACGTATTGTAGGGTGCTGCACTCTCTTCCTGCAATAAGTCTGTTATCAAGCATGTGGAGAGAATAGCAAACTGCTCACTGTTTCATCCTTGGAGTCGATAGCAGTATAGAAGAAGCCGTTCACTCGGAGTACGTTTTCGTAATCGAATGGTTGACCCTAAATGATACAATGTGATCAACGGCATAAGGTCAACTTTTATTCCCTTCTTTAATCACATCTCACAAGATGACAATCGCGGTTCAAATAAACTTCTTTCCTATTACAATACCGACATTTCAAAGCAACTTTCATCTTGTCTACGTGACTGTGATTGATGACAAGTAATATTCATAGTCTTGTTGTGCGAAAATAAAAAAAATAAAATAATAAATAAAAACAAAAATAAAAATAAAAAAAACTGTCCCCTCATGACATGCAACATCTTAGTACCGTACAATCATGACAGGAACTTACAAGAAAGTTTCGCGCCACTGATGACCAAAATTCGTCACGATAAAGACTTCTACTGAGCTGAAAACTTTGGCACTTAGTTGACAAGTGGAGGGACTCTAAGGCTCTTATGCACGTATCGTCGATTCGTTTACCGCACGGACTGCTCAAACGTTGCTCACTACGCACTGCGCGGCTGAGATGTTGCGAGAGCACGCTTTACACTGGCGAAATTATAACGGGGCAGGCGTTTTACCCCGTGGCGCGTGCTCTGCATGATGTCCAGCGGGCGGTCGACGAATCGACAATAGATCCCTGCTGAAGAGGGAAGGGATCTAAGGCTCGTAAGCCCTAACATTCCTTCGTTTGTTTTCAGATTCGTCTATCTTTCCAGGAAGTCAATGCAAACTCGTAGGCTCTGGCCAGACTTCGCTAAAAGCGCCCAAAAGCGTCTGAATTTCTGCAATTCCTTTTAATTTCTCGTATGAGGAGAGATGAGAGAGAGTGAAGAGAGGTTAGAGATATGAGCGCTTTTGAGCGAAGTCTGGGCAGGACCCTAAAGCTGTACTGGGGATCTCTACGGCACTGCTAGGGATGTTTCCCAAGTTGCGAATTTTTCGATGA